CTGCACAAGCAGCAAAAGGCAACCGTCGGTAGGGGTCGCAACTGCCCTTACCCCTAGATCATGTGGAGAAGAGTGCGCGCACCATAGAGAAACTCCCAACCCACATGTGTCTATGGCAGAGGTTGCTGGCCAGTGCCTAGACAATTGTCTAGAGACTGCTTGTGTTAGGGTCTCCCTAGGCACTTCCCTCACAGGTGTGGCAGAAGAACTGAAGGAGAGGATGCCTGCCTGGGCCAAGATGAAGAAGGATGAGAAAGGACAGTTAAATTTTTCAGATGTAGAGATTTTTAGAGGCAGAGTAGGGGCCCTTATAGACATTGGGGTTACCCGTAGCTATATTAGTCGCAAAGCGCTACAGAAGCTGAAGCTGAATTTGAAGGTCCAAAAGTTAAAGGAACCTATAGTCAGCATCCTCGCAGACAATCGCACAATGCGAGTCGAGGATTACGTCGAGGGAATCCAGGCTTATTTTCGCCTCGAAAAATATGGGAAGGTAGAAAGAGTTCTCCATTCCCTGACTCTCCTCGTAGAAGACAACCTCCCGTTTGATATAGTCCTAGAAATGGACTGGGGAGAGGCAGCAGGGGCCACACTTCATTTGAGAGAGCATGAGTGTAGGCTCCCTAGCCCGTCAGGGGGAGTCAAGACTGCCCACCTATTTCATGTGTCAGGGGTAGAGAACCCTTTAGCACATTGCTGCCTCAGCGCTTCTGCATTTGCAAGGTCAGTGAAGAAGGAGAAGCTAGAAGAGCAGGTTTTCATTGCCTATGTTAGGCCAATCACTGAGCCTAAGTCCGAAGAGCCCAGAGACCCTCATATTGCCAAGTTGTTGTTGGAGTATGCAGACCTCTTTGAGCCGCCTACAGGAATAGTACAACAGCCGATCCAGCACCGAATAGACATAGAACCTGGCAGTAGAACTTCCAAAGGAGCGGTGTATAGAATGTCCCCAAGGTAGTTAGAGGAGTTGCGAAAGCAGTTAGACGAGATCCTCGAGGAGGGTTGGATTAGGCCCAGTTTGTCTCCGTTTGGAGCGTTTGTTCTGTTTGTTCCTAAAAAGGAGGGAGAGTTGAGAATGTGTATAGACTATAGGGGTCTCAACGCCATCATAGTGAAGAACGCAGAACCACTGCCTCAAATAGATGATTTGTTGGATCGAGTGCAGGGTTGCCGATACTTCTCTAAGATAGATTTGAAATCAGGCTATCATCAGATAGTGGTTCATCCTGATGATCAACACGAGACGGTGTTTAGGACCAAATACGGGCACTATGAGTTTATAGTGATGCCCTTTGGACTAACCAACACGCCAACTACTTTTAAGTGTTGTATGAATGACTTGTTTAGGCCGTGTTTAAATAGATTTGTAGTTGTATATCTAGATGACATCCTAGTGTTTAGTAAGACCCTCCAGGAGCATGAGGGCCATCTAAGGCAGGTCTTGGAGAAGCTGAGAGAAGCTAACTTCAAGATCAATGCGAAGAAGTGTGAGTGGGCCAAGACACAGGTTCTATATCTGGGCCACGTCCTAGATGGAGATGCCATAAAGCCCGAGGACAACAAGATAACAACGATTAGAGATTGGCCGACTCCCCGCACGTTGACAGAGTTGCGGTCGTTCTTGGGGTTAGCAAATTATTATAAAAAGTTCGTGAGGAACTTTTCTATGATTGCTGTTCCCCTTCGCAGGTTGCTAAAGAAAGAGGCAATCTGGAAGTGGCATAAAGACTGCACAGTGGCCCTGAAGAAGTTAAAGCGGGCCTTAATAGAGTACCCGGTCCTTAAGGTAGCTGATCCATCATTACTGTTCGTCGTTACCACTGATGCAAGTCAATATGGTATAGGTGTTGTTCTACAGCAAGACGGTGGTAATGGATACAAACCCGTAGAGTTCATGTCTGCTAGAATGCCTTCAGAAAAGGTAGCGACATCCACCTACGAGAGGGAACTCTACGCTCTCAGGCAAGCGTTAGACCACTGGAAGCACTACTTGCTTGGGAGACACTTTAAAGTATATTCAGACCACGAGACACTAAGCTGGCTGAAAACGCAGGCCAAAATGACACCAAAGCTAACTAGGTGGGCCGCAAAGATAAATCAGTATGATTTCGAGTTCAAGCCAGTCAAAGGGAAATACAATGTAGTTGGGGACGCTCTGAGTAGGAGATCAGACTACTTTGGAGCGATAGTGCACTATCTGGATATAGGGACCTCCTCAAAGAGTCAAAGAAGCGTATGCGCAGGACCCTATCTATAGCGACCTCCTCAAGAGAGTTAAGGAGGCACCGGAATCGGAACCAGATTACCGCACTATAGACGACTTGTTATTTGAGAAGACTACTGTTGTTGATCGCCTATGCGTTCCCAATAGTGAAGAGATCCGAAGCTTGATCTTAGGGGAATGCCATGATACAGAGGGACATTTCGGTTGGCAGAAGACATTAGCCAACCTCATGCGTGCGTATACCTGGACTGGTATGAAGGCCGACTGCATAAAATACGTACGCAGTTGCAAAGTATGTCAAAGGAACAAGACTACTACGCGAGCCCCTCTATGTCTTCTCGGACCATTGCCTATCCCAGAAGGACCCAAAGATTCAGTGTCTATAGATTTCATGGACACTGGCGTCAAAAGTAGGCATGGCAAGAGTCAAGTCATGGTCGTAGTAGACAGGTTTAGCAAGTATGCCATTTTCGTTCCTTTGCCTTCTGAGGCACGCATAGATTTAGTGATCCGAAAGTTTTTTCACCATTGGGTTAGTGAACATGGGCTACCGTTGTCTATTAAGTGACAAAGACACCCGGTTCACTAGTCAAAATTGGCAGGAATTAATGAAAGTCTATGGATCAAAGTTGTTAATGTCGTCTGGCCGTCATCCAGAGACAAACTGGCAGACCGAACAAATGAATAAAGTCCTTCAGCAAGTTTTAAGGATGTACATTAGGCCCGATCAACTGGACTGGGATGAAATGCTCCCAAAAGTAGCCAGTGTCTACAATAATAGAGTGCACCTAGCCACTTGTCGCACTCCCAATGAGCTACATAAGTCTTTTAAACCACGCAGCCCGTTTGAAGGACTTAACCGAGATCAGACTCAGAGGTTACCAGCCGGTACCACGGAGTTTGCGATACAGCACGAGAAAGAGATAGCTACAGTAGTTGAGAACCTCAAGAAGGCCCAACACAAAATGATAGAACAAGCCAACAAACATCGTCGCCCTTCACAGTTCCAAGTCGGCGACCTAGTCTGGGTCAAGTCAAAGGAGTTTGCTCCTGAGGAGAACATCTCGCAAAAGTTGCTACCTGCTTATAGAGGACCGTGGCCAGTCCTAGAAGTCAAGGGTGGAGAGGATGGACCATCTTACACGATAGAGATCCAGCACACCTCCACACGTACCCAGTTTTCCATGCATCAAAGTTGTTACCTTGTACAACGAGCCAACAGTTTCCATCCCGAAGGTCTATGATTCCTCTGGATATGGATGGGAGGTACGACATTGATGGCATAGTAGGTGAGGATGTCTTCAGAACAGGAGGTAGAGGTCGTCCACAGAAACAGTACAAAGTCAGCTTCTCTTATCAAGAACCTGAAGACGACTGCTGGTTCACCAGAGCAGAACTTCTAGAGACAGCTCCCAATATAGTCCGAGCCTATAAGAGAGATAAGAAGGGTAAAGGGCTCGAATTTAGGCCGGCGGGAGTGAAACGGTTGTCACCTTTGCAGAAGCAGATGCAGATCCCAGGGTTCGATCCCTAGACCTTACCTGCACCCATGTACAGTATCGAGTAGACCCCTGTGTGTTTTGAACCCGCGACCTGTGTTTTAGTGGTGACTGTACCTTGTCATAGGTCCCTGTAGTTGTAGGGGTTCGATCTGTAGATCTGTCAAGTAGGGGTTACAGATATATAGAGGTCGAAACTGCTAGGCAAGAGGTCCGTAGGTAAGTCGTAGGTCCAGCTGCATCGAGTAGGCAGTGCGGCTACATCGAGTCGGCAGTGCAACGCCATGCAATCAGCGGTACCGGTCCAGTCAGTCGCAGTCCAGTCAAGCAAGTACCGTGTGGGACTGTGTGCACCAAAGGCCTGGAGGAAAGGGGCAGACCAGCGATCAACAGAAGTATAAATCAAGAGGCAGCGTTCAGGGATTCATTCTTTCGTTGCGTAAGCCATGCGGAAGTGCTGTCTCAAGCGACTTGTGTGAGGCGGTCTGCAGAGCGCCCGAGGATGAAGAGGGCTGGAAGAAGTTAGCGTAGCTATAGTTCGTGGTGAAGCGGCCATAGCCGCTGTAGCTAGGAGAGAGACACAAGAGTGTGTAAGTGTGTGGGGTATTCAGGGTGATCCAGAGTTGAGTGAGTGTGAACAGTGGTGTTGGGAACAGTATCGAGGGTTGGATGTGCAGGCGCTTATGCGCCATAGCCTGTTGAAGCAAGTTGCGCCCGAACTGTTTTCCCAAGTTCCATATCTCTGAGTTTTGAGTGGGCGCTGTGCGCCAGTGTGATTCGCCATCTGTTTGCATGTATGTGAAAAGAAGAAGAAAACGATTCTGATTGCAGAGACGTTGGGCGAGGGATTATTTGGGACCTGTACCGAAGACTTGGTGTTGACGACATTCCCATCTTCCCCTCTTCTTCGTCTAACCCCCCTCTTCTTCGTCTGTGTATGGTTGGGGACTGGCGCATTCTTCCTGTGTGAGCACCGGGCCCCTTCACACCATGGAATGATGATGATGTATGTTTGGTTTACATTAGAACATTGATTGTTCGGATCATTGGTATATTAGCCTTCCGCTGCGCTATTTTGTAGTATGTGAGAGAGGTCGGTTCTTGTTCTGCTCTGCACCTTTACGGTATGCGGCAGAGTGAGAGTACACTCCCTTTTTGTGATGTTCTTAAACCATTCGTTTTCTTAGTTTTGCAAGGGTAAATTTTCTCTAGTCATGCTTTAATGTGGTTTGTAATGTGTGTTCCCTCCTTGTCTTCTCTGTTCTGAACCTTTGCAGATCAGTTACTTCTTGGCGAAGGATTTGATCGATGTAAGTTAATCTCTGTTTTCCTCTGTAAGGGTACAGGTCTGTGTGGCGTGGCAGCTGGGAAGAAATGGACAAGAGAGCTTTTGTTTTGCTCTCATCAGGGCACCTTGAGTGTTATGTGGAACACCCATCATGCCCTTACACCTTTTCCTTCACCCCCTACCTCCTCCCCACCAGGCCCTGTTTTAGTCATGCCCCCCGTTTTAGGCCCTCTTCCTACCTCTGGGGGTTGCTCTGCTTTCCTTTTCCGGTCCTCCACGAATAACCATCGTGGTCCATCTGTTTGCATGGGATTATCGTTCGTACCCTCCCACGACATATTGCGCCTATATCCCCCTCCTCGCCTCACCGGCCTTTTGCGTCACAAGTTTGAGCCAGCCGGCCCTACTGGTTCCCTTGGGCTGTGTCGTTGCTCTTATTTCTTCAGAAAGGGCTCTGTCCACCTGCAGCTACAACTCGAGCCAAGCCCTCATCTCCTCTTGCGGATCTGACTGCAATAATGGGTCCATGCTGCTTCTGATCTCCCTATCGTGCAGTTCCTGTGTGGTTTCCGCTCGCGTCAGGCATCGGTCATGCAACCCAATGTGACCACGTGTGAAGCAAACTTCACAGAAGGCGGTTTCGCCTGTGATGACCCGAACTTCCTCGAAACTGTACGGTCCTGTGGCCACCGCCACGCTGTTCCTCAACGTTTTTTTCAGCGTGCCGTTGATAACGTATCTCGAGTATTCGCGTTCCTCGTCATCGACTGTTTGTTCCGCGGCAATTGGGCCGAAGAAAAATTCCACTGCTCCCCACATCCACTTGGCTGCCACAGGGGAAGGTTTATATACTTTCACCCATGGCCACCGTTTACATTTGGCCAACTCGCTGCAGCCATCTCAGCAGGTGGCTTCCATGGTTGGAGTACTACTTGGCCTTGCGTCCCGGTGGCGTGCAGCTCCTCCACCCGTCTATCATTTATCAGCCAGTCTCTCAATTCAACGTTGGCGCTAGATACGTAACCATCGTGTCTCCCTCTGAGTCTATCTCCCCCCTCCACGGGCGTCTGCCCAGTGTCCATGCCCCTTCCATGTGGCGTGCCCATTCCCTCTTAGCGTTCCGTGGCCAGCTGGATGCTTTGTCCGGCAGTTTGCAAGCGACTGTGTGTGCCCTTACGTACGTGTTCTAAAGGTACATAATTACGTTCGTGGACCGCGCCATGCACACCCCGTTATGCGTTGCGTACTCCACCAAGCCAGGCCCCTCGACTGGCCGGTGTAGCAAGTACGATTCCCTCAAGATTTTCATGAGTCGCCATCTCTCTTGAACCACCCCTTCCATCCCTACACCCCTTCACCTCAGTCCCTTCCTTCCACTCCCCGTTCCTACTCTAATTCGCCCTACTTACGTTTATGTGCTCTCCCTATCCCTGTACATGTTCACCTTGCATGTTTTGTTTGCTACTACTTGTCCTCCGCTAGCCAACGGCTCCCCCGCGTTTACCAGTGGTTTCCCTTCCTGAACACTACAGAGGACCTCCTCGCTTAAAACCACGAGCTCGGCTAGATCCCCATGCCAGTCGACGAATCACCGTGCTTTCAGGCCCGTTGATTCAACAGAGGAAGCTCTAGAGCGTAGCTCCTTCTTCCACCTGTGTGGCACCTCCACCATTGACTACCCCCCCAGCCTCGCCCCCTATCTACACCTTCTCACGCCCATCTATTCACTCCCTCCTATCCCTCACTTCTTCTCCTGCCCCCTCCTTCTCACTCTGTTCCGGTCGTTGGCCAACCCTCTGCCGCGTCCCCGGTCGTTGACCAGCCCTCTACCGCCTATCACTTTCCACTCCCGCGCCCGTATCGCCGAAGATCTTTGTGTATCCGTTCCCCCCCTAGCCTCTCCTGAGACGATGTGACCGTAGTCCGGACAAGGCGGCACCATAGCCGCCCTGTGTTGACCATGGTTTGCCCTTGACGTCACCCCGCACGAAATAGTGGGTCAAAGGGGAAAGTGAATGGCGCCCAGCAGTTCCGTTTTTCCTTTCATTTCACTTTATCAGGTTCAGTCCGGTTGCTTATCACCAGCAAGCATGTGTTTTTTCGAACAAGCAACGGGGGAGATTAGGCAGAAAAGAAAGCCAGCCTATCCTTGTGGCTTGAGCCGCCTATAAAAGGGGGGGTTGATTCAGCTCAACCCACTCCCGCCCTTTGGTCTTTCCTCGGGGATTGTCCTGCAAGTCGGGAAGCTTGATAACAGCACCCAGGCACGCTGCAGGATAATCCCCAAGAGGACAAGGCACACTTGGGGGGGGGGGGGGG